CCTTATATTCATATTATTTTAACACTAACAATAATAACTATGTAAATTAACTTTGAACATAAGTTAATAAATAAATATCTAGATATCAATAATAGTAGGTATGTATTGGTAACTAACAGATGGAAAGTGTTTATGGAAGATGATATGTTTAGAAACTCAACACCACATAGTATATATATTAATGGCAAAGATATAAATTAAGGAATTAACGTAATAACGTTAATGACTAGTCAATACAACGATATCTCAGATCAAATAAGATAGTATACAAATTGACTAGGAAATAATTTAGTCCATTATTTTCAGGCAATAGTGTATTTAAAGACATATACTATGCGATGGCAATTATTCCGGGAATTTTAATAATAATAGTAATAATAAATTAAATTATAATATTTTTATTTATACACGCCTTCTAGCCCATTGCATATCATTTATCTAGTATCTACCTAAATTACCAATCTTTAAAGTGCACATTTCATAACATTTTGAAAATTAATGATTCAATTAATTTTATTAGAATAATATTTTGTATAATTTATTTCATATTATTATGTATGACCCAATTTAAATATTTTGTTATACAAAATATTATCAACATTGTCTATCAATATTAGACATTCCAGTAATTTCCTAGTCATAGTAGTAAATGTGATTATAAAACATTTGATTTTCATAACATTTCCATTTTGTCAGTTAATTCCTAGGTATTACTTAATTTACTTTACATTAAATTTAACATTAATAAATTACACAATGTAACATATATGTTTATATTATTTTATGGATATTTTATCAGTTYGTTAAAATCAGAAAAAACTTTTTGTTTTCTATTTTTGACTGTTCAAAATTTAAATTACTCGTACAATAACTAATATAAAATATATTTATAATACAAATCACATGTACATATAGTTTRTTAATGAACGAGAATATTATATAGTAATAATATGATGAGTTGAAATTTCAGTCGTTGTATTTTGATTTATTTTTTCGTAACAGGTAAATCGACTGGACTAGTAACCAATACTCGAATTACTCATGCTACACCGTCAGCGTTATACGCGCACTCACCTAGCCGATATTGGGAAGATGACGGAAAAGTGCCAATACCTTCAAGAAAATCATGTAAGGACATTGCCCGCCAACTGGTGGAGGATGATCCAGGTCGATTTATAAACGTGAGTTATTATTAATATTATCATTTTTTTTTCAAGCCTAAATATGGTTAGGTACCATGTATTATGGTGATAATGAGATATACATTCTAAGGTTATAGTGTAAAGAACATCAGTGGTGATATTAATTGAACACGTTACACATACATTTATGTATTAATGTGCATGTTATATAATTATTTGATATCAGCGGTCTGACTTTATGTCTTAAAACTTAATAGCCAACTCATTTAAAACCTGTAACAAAATCACYTAATATTTTCCATCACATTGGAAAAACACATTTGAAACTTTAACGATTATCTTTGATATAAATGTTAACCCATGACCCGCTTGACCACTATGTTGATTTACTAATAATATTTAAATATTTACTATCCGTATTCTAAATCCCAGTGTCATCAAAATTCATGGTTGTATATTTATCAACCGTCAATGCTCTTTACTTTGTCCATTATCAAATACAACTGATTCGAAAATATATTTTGTAACAATTTTATAACAAAACATGCAGACATTTATTAGCCTATGACCAGACTATTAGCCTGGTTTTGTAATATTTATATTACCTTGCTTGTTAAAATAAAATGTTTTAAAATAATTTTATCTTATAATTAGAAATATTCTCAAATATATGCTAAAATAATCTTYGCCAAAATAACCATACACCAAATAGGTTTACGCCATAGGATGAAGTGGACACGTCCAGATGTTCTAGATCGTCTTTGTTTTATAGAAGTTTTTTGTAAGTTCAA